GTGGGTATATGTCATGTCCCTTTACCCTATAAAGTTTGCATTATACCTTATAAAATCAAGAACATTCTATTAAATATCCATAGCACAGTAATTGAATTCAGGAAATTTATCATTGATTCAATACTTTTATCCAAACTACAGTTCATTTTCCAGTTTCTCAATAATTTCCTTTACATTATTAATTTCTGATAGAAGAGTCAGTCTAGGACTATGAATTGCCTTTAGCTTTCATGCTTTTTAAGTCTGTTTAATATGGATTTGTTCCTCAATGCCATTATAATATTTGAAGGATACAGGCCAACGTGGATTTTGTTGTTGTTGTTGTTTTTGTTTTTTTGAGACAGAGTTTAGCTCTTGTTGCCCAGGCTGGAGTGCAGTGGCTCAGTCTTGGCTCACTGCAACCTCTGCCTCCCAAGTTCAAGTGATTCTTCTGCCTCAGCCTCCAAAGTAGCTGGGACTACAGGCATACACCACCACACCTGGCTAATTTTTTGTATTTAGTAGAGACAGGGTTTCACCATGTTGGTCAAGCTGGTCTCGAATTCCTAACATCAGGTGATCCACCCACCTCAACCTCCCAAAGTGCTCAGATTACAGGCGTGAGCTACCATGCTCGACCCAGGCCAACGATTTTATAGGAAGTCTTTAAATTTAGGTTTCCCTGATCGTTCTTCATGATTAGATTTAGATTGTGAATTTTTGTCTAGAATATTACATGAAACCTCTTAAATTTATGGCTCAGAATAGGGCCTGTTTTTCAAAAATTCCATGCACAAATGAGAAGATGGCTTGTTCTGCTCTGGTTGGGTGGAGTGTTTGATAAATGTTAATGAGATCAAGTTGGTTGGTTGTGTTGTTCAGGTGTACCATATCCTTGCTGATTGTCTGCCTACTTGTATCAATTGTGGGGCTGAGGGAATTGAAATCTGCGATTGTGTTTCTGTTTCTCTTTGCAATTCTACCACTTTTTGCTTTATGTATTATCTTAGGTACATAAATATTCAAGATTATATAAAAAGAAAAAAAAAGAGAACAAAAAGAAAAAAAGGAGGGAAAATATTCCTCTTGATTAATTAACCGCTTTGTAAAATGGCCTTCCTTATTCCTGGTAATATTCCATGCTTTGAAATGTACTTTATTATTTATGTAGCTTTCTTTTGAGTAATGCATGCATGGTGTATCCTATTCCATCCTTTTACTTTTAACCTATTTGCATTTTTATATCTAAAGGATTATTTCTTGTAGGCAACAATATTTGGATCTTGCTTATTTTCTTCCAGTCTATTTCTGTCTCACAATTGGGGATATATAGATCATTTACATGTAATGTGATTATTGATGAAACTAGTTAGGTTAGAGTTCGTTGTCTTTGTTTTCTTTTAGTCTCATCCTTTCTTTTTAAAGTGCCTTTATCTTCCTTCCTTTTCATTAATTGAGAATTTTTTTATGATTCTATTTTATATCTTTTATTGGGTTTTTAGCTATCACACTGTTTTGTTATTTTAGTGAATTCGAATTTATAATATGCAACTTTAATTATCATAGCTTATTCTCAAGTAATGTACCATTTTTTTTAGAGTAGAAGAAGCTTACAGTAGCTTCTTGGTCTTTCTCCTCCTCTTGGTCTTTACACCATTGTTCATTTTACTTTTACAGGTGGTATTGATGTCACACACAATCTATAGCATTGTTATGTTAATTAAACAGTCAGTTATTTACTTTATGTATTTATTTAGAGACAGAGTCTCACTCTGTTGCCCAGGATGTAGTGCAGAGGCAAAATCTTGGCTCATTGCCACCTTCACCTCCTAGATTCAAGCAGTTCTCCCACCTCGGCCTCCTGAGTAGCTGGACTGCAGGTGCGCACCACCACGTCCAACTAAGTTTTGTATTTTTAGTAGAGACGAGGTTTTACCATGTTGGCCAGGCTGGTCTTGAACTCCTGACCTCAGGTGATCCACCCATCTGGGCCTCCCAAAGTGCTGCAATTACAGGCATGAGCCACTGCATCTGGCCCAGTTATCTTTTAAGGGAATCTAAGTAATGAGAGAAAATACAGTTACCACTTCTGATACTCATCATTCCTTTGTGTAAATCTAAATTTTTATCTGCTGTTATTTTACTTCTGCCTCAAGGGCTTTCTTTAACTAGCTGATGAATTCTTGTATGTCTGCAAATGTCTTCATTGTGTCTTTGCTTTAAAAGGCATTTTTGCTGGATTTTTCTCCACAGTGCTTTAAATATGTTCCTCTATTGTCTTCCTGCTTACATTTTTTTCTAAGAGAAATCTGATCTCATCCTCATCTTTGTTCCCCTGTATAAAACATTTCTTTTTTCCTTCACCCCCTTATTGTTTTAAACTTTTTGTCATTAGTTTTGGGCGATTTGATTGCAATATATCATGGTATCATTTTTTTCATGTTTCTGTTTTGGGGATCATTGAACTTCTTGGATCTTGGATTTATGGTTTCATCGCTTTGGGAACATTGTTATCATTATTTCTTCAACTACCCATCACCCCCCCTCCATCGATTCTTGTTGCCTGTATATTAGGCCACTTGCAATTTTCCCACAATACACTGTTGGTCTTTATTTGCTTTTAATTCTTTTTTCTCTGTTTCATTTTATGTAGCTTCTGTTGCTTTCTTCATATTCAGTAATCTCTTTTTTCTGCGATGCTGTTACTCTTGTCCAGTATAATTTTCATTTCAGATATTGTAGTTTCTATCTGTAGAAGGTTAGTGTGGGTCTTTTTTATATCTTGCCTGTTTCAATTTGTTTGAACATTTGGAATAGAGTTATAAATTGTCTCAGTGCCCTCTGCCAGTTGTAAAGTCTGTGTCAATTCTGGGCCAGTTTTGATTGACTAGTTCTTTTCTTTCTTATGGGTTGTAATTTCCTCCCCGTTTTCCCATCTCGCAAATCTTTCTCCTTAGGTCTGCCTCTGTTCTTCTTCCCGGCCCTGTGGCCTGGAAGCATGCAAGGCAGAAGCATGGTTCACCTTGTTTATTTCCCATCTTTCATAGGTAGCTCTGCTGCCTGATAATCAGTGCCTTGAAAACCATTTTTTCAGATATGTTGTCCGTTTTGTTTCTTTCTGTTTTTGATTTTGTTGTTGTAGTTCTTGTGTGCTGTTTCAGGTTGGAGGGTATATCCAGTACCTGTTAGTTTATCACAACTGAGGGCAGAAGTCCTAACGTCTCTCTATCTATGTTTTTTCTAATATATATATTTTTTCCTTTGTAGAGACAGGGTCTTGCTATGTTGCCAAGACTAGTCTCAAACTCCTGGCCTCAAGCGATCCTTCTGCCTCAGCTTTCCAAAGTGTTGGGATTACCGGCATGAGCCCCTACACCTGACCTGGATACAGTTTTATTCATGTCCAAATGGTTTTTTTCCCCTACCTTTTTTTTATTTTGTCCTACCTCGTGTAAACTATAATGTCAGCAGGTCTTATTCCAGGAAAAAGCTTTTTGCTATTTTTATTGGAATCACATATTTATAAAGTAATTTAGGATAACTGATATCTTGGTATTATTAAGTTGATCTTAATGATAACAACTAATTTTGGGGGGGGGATCTTTAGTAGAGATGGGGTTTCACCATGTTGACCAGGCTGGTCTCAAACTCCTGACCTAGGTGATCTGCCCGCCTTGGCCTCCCAAAATGCTGGGATTACTTTGGGATCCCACGCCTGACCACTTTTGTTTTCTTAGTTATATTCCTCTGATTGCTTTCTCGTCTCTAATTGTAGATAATGAGCATTTTATTAATATCTTGTTCTTGATATTAGTGGGAAGGTATGTAGTTTTTCCCTGCTAAGTAAAATCCTTACTTTTTGGACTGAGAAGACTGAGGCGTAAGTGTGTGTGTGTGTGTGTGTGTGTGTGTGTGTGTGTGTGTGTAAACTTAAACTGTACATATGTACTTGTATGTAATTGAAATACATATGTCACATATATATCATATATACTATTGCATATTAGGGTGTAATATTTATATTTGTGTGTACATGTATATATATATATATTAGTGATGTTAATGAAGTATCCATCAGTTCCTATTTTCTCCAGTTTGTTTTTTTAAAATCAGCTTTTTCTGTCAAACTTTTTCAAGTATCTTCACAGATACAAGATTTTTCTTATTTGCTCTGTTATAATGGCATATCATATTAATAGATTTCCAAATGTTAAACTAGTCTGTATTCTTGGAATAAGTCCCATTTGGCTATAGTATATTATGTTTTTAATCTGGTACTGGATTTTGTTTGGTTATGTTTCATTTTGGGTATTTGTATTGATGTAAGTGGTATTGGCATTTAATATTGTGTTATTTATTGGTTGATCAGTCTTCTAACCCTTGCCACCTCCTTGCCTTCTGGACTAACAACCCAGAAGGTTATTACTGTCTCTTGGTGATTTTATCAGCTCCTGTGGCCTGCCTGTGGATAAGCTTGGATGTTCTGCTTTAGTTTCTCAGCCCACCAGCCTAGCAGCTCTGCCTCTGCTATCTCTTGGGATCTATATGGTCTTAGGTGTATCACTGGGTTTGAACCCTTTGTTGATAATGTTCTTTATAAATAATAGAATAATGCAACATTCCTTCCTTATCCTTATTGGGCACTTCCTTCTTCTAAACTACACGTTTGGGCAGGGCATGCTGACTGAAGCCTGTAATTCCAACACTTTGGGAGGCCGAGGCAGGTGGATTGCTGGAGCCCAATTTTACATTTTTCTTTTTCTTTCTTTCTTTCTTTTTTTTTTTTTTTTTGAGACAGGGTCTCGCTCTGTTGCCTAGGCTGGAGTGCAGTGGTGCAACCATAGCTAACTGCAGCCTTGACCTTCCTCAAGCGATCCTCCTGCCTTAGCCTCCTGAGTAGTTGGAACTACAGGCATGTGCCATGATGCCCAGCCAAATTTTTTTTTAATTTATTTTTAGCAGAGATGAGATCTTACTCTGTTGCCTAGGCTTGTCTCAAACTCCTGAGCTCAAACAATCTTCCCATCTTGGCCTTCCAAAGTGCTGGGATTATAAGCATGAACCACCATGCCCAGCCCCAACCTCTTAAAAATTGAAGCTGCTTCATTTTTACCATTGGTACTTTTTACACCTCATCATATTCTTCTTCCCCTTCATCCCATAGAATACACAATTCATCTTTAACAACTTCAGGTTAACTGAGTCTGTGAAGCCTAATCTAATGACATAAAGTTAAAATAATTTGATTCTCTTTTGTTAAATCATTCTGCCCCTTGTCTACATTACTCTAATAACAGCTTTGGACATTCATTCATTTAATGAATATTCATTGCTGCAAGAATGAGATGTTTAAGGTAAAACTCAGCCATGCAGATAGCCGGAAGCCACTGGCTGTGAGAATCAAAGAGCCAAAAGAATGAGGAGCTGAAACATTGAGAGCCCCAGAGCAGCGAGTTAGGAAGAAGGAGACCTGGAACTGAGTGGTGGGCACTCCATCCTGAAGAGGTCCAGGAGAAGGGGCAAGTCTGGCAGCAAAGGAGACTGAAAGAAGTGACAAGGAGTGAAATGCTCATGTTTGTTTATGTGTTTATCCCCTTATCAGGTTGTCAGCTTTTTGAGAGCAGTCATGGTGTTTCACTCATCTTATATCCCAAAAACTCAGCTCAGTTGCAAAATAAGAACTCAGTTGTGTTTTGAGTTTTTATTTTTGTGGGGTTTTATATGTATATATATTAAGGACCCCAAGGAATATGTGTTTCTAATATGATTTCGCTTCCACAGTCTGTAACATGAGGTATACAATGTTCATGGTTAACTTTACCAGCAAGCTTTGTAAAATGTTATCCCCTTATTTCTTTTCCACATCTCCCAATTCTGATCATGTTGCCATTACAGGGGCCAGTGTCATTCAAAGACGTGGCAGTGGACTTCACCCAGGAGGAGTGGCAGCAACTGGACCCTGATGAGAAGATAACATACAGGGATGTGATGCTGGAGAACTATAGCCATCTTGTTTCTGTGGGTGAGGATAGCTTTCTTTCTGAATGCTTTCACTTGAATGGGGTTTTATCCTTGAGTTTGAGGAAATAAGTGATGACACCATTTAATTCTTTGTGGACACTAGCTGGAGTGTTTATATTATTATTCATTGAAAGGTTCTAACTTTGATAAGGTAAAAAATGGGGCACTTCTGTTATGCAGCTTATGAGGTGACAACATCTTACATTTGAGAGGTTCTGAAGCCAAGCAGCTTGTACAAGTTATTCTTCTTTTCGCATTAGCAGGATGTGATATCACCAAGCCAAATGTCATCGTTAAGTTGGAGCAGGGAGAAGAGCCATGGATAACGGAAGATGAATTTCCATGTCAGCATAGTCCAGGTAATTTAGTAGAGTATCAAATGTTAAAAAATGCTCATCCCAGACCTTTGGGAGTGACTAAAGACTGTTGTTTATATGTATTCAGTACCCTGAGTAACAGGTCCCAACACCCAAATGCCACTTTCCTTCCAGCACACATACATGAACTCTTTTGTTGATTTTACATTTGATGTACACTGGTAGGGATTTTTTCATTCTAACCTGTACTGGGGACCCATTAACTTCCTCTTTCTTGAGCATTATCAGTAACTTACTCTCTCACCATTACAGAATTGTTGTGGGTTTTTTTTTTTTTTTTGAGACGGAGTCTTGTTTTGTCGCCTAGGCTGGAGCGCAGTGGTACTACTGTCTTGGCTCACTGCAACCACCACCTCCCAGGTTCAAGCAATTCTTCTGCCTCCGCCTCCTGAGTAGCTGGGATTACAGGCGCATGCCACCACGCTTGGGTAGTTTTTGTATTTTTAGTAGAGACAGGGCTTTACCATGTTGGCCAGGCTGGTCTTGAACTCCTTACCTCAGGTGATCTGCCCACCTCTGCCTCCCAAAGTGCTGGGATTACAGGCGTGAGCCACTGCACCTGGCCCCCTTCAGTTGTGGTTAAAAAGCATGTAACAGGCCAGGCACGGTGGCTCACGCCTTTAATTCCAGCACTTTGGGAGGCCGAAAAGGGTGGATTACCTGAGGTCAGAAGCGTGAGACCAGCCTGGCCAACATGGTGAAACCCCATCTCTACTAAAAATACAAAAATTAGCCAGGTATGGTGGCACGTGCCTGTAATCTCGGCTACTTGAGAAGTTGGGGCAGGAGAATTGCTTGAACTCTGGAGGTGGAGATTGCAGTGAGCCGAGATCGCACCATTGCATTCCAGCCTGGGCAACAAGAGCAAAACTCCATCTCAAAAAAAAAAAAGTAACATACAATTTACCATCTTAACCCTTTTTAAGTGTATAGTAATGTTAACTGTATTTGCATTGTTGAGCAATAAACTTTAGAATTTTATCCTTTACGTTTGAACTTTAAGGTTAACTCCTTGAAGTTTTCTTCATGATTCTTTGACCATTCCAGTCTTTCTTTTCTCTTGATATCTATTCCACTTAGTGATTGTTACCACAGAAAGTTGGATATGATTATATACTCTGATATGATTATACACTCTGATAGGATTATATGCTCTGATAGGAGTGTAAGCTCTGTGATTATATGCTCTGATAGATTATATGCTCTGTGATTCTATGCTTTGGTAGCACTATATGCTCTGAGTATAAACTCTGATAGGAGTATATGCTCTAAATTTTATGCTCTGGTAGGAGTGTATGCCCTGATAGGAGTGTATGCTCTGTGATTACATCCTCTGATAGAAGTATATACTCTAGGCCTGGTGCGGTGGCTCATGCCTGTAATCCCAGCACTTTGGGAGACTGAAGCAGGGGGATCACAAGGTCAGGAGTTCCAAGAGCAGCCTGACCAACATGATGAAACCCTGTCTCTACTAAAAATATAAAAATTAGCCGGGCATGGTAGCGTGCCTATACTCCCAGCTACTCAGGAGGCTGAGGCAGGAGAATCACTTGAACCCATGAGGCGGAGGTTGCAGTCAGTGGAGATTGCACCATTACACTCCAGCCTGGGTGACAGAGCAAGACTCCATCTCAAAAAAAAAAAAAAAAAAGAAATATATGCTCTATGATTCTATGCTGTGTTAGGATTATATGCGCTAAGTATAAGCTCTGATAGGAGTATATGCTCTGTGATTATACGCTGTTATAGGAGTGTATGCTCTGTGATTATACGCTTGATAGGAGTATATGCACTGTGATTATATGCTTGATAGGAGTATATGCTCTGTGATTACACGCTCTGACAGGAGTATATGCTCTGATTATACACTTGATGGGAGTATATGCCCTGTGATCATATGCTCTGATAGGAGTATATGCCCTGCGATCATATGCTCTGATAGGAGTATATGCCCTGTGATTATATGCTCTGATAAGAGTATATGCTCTATGTTATACAATCTGATAGTTAGTTGTATATATTTGTTGCTTCAGCTTCATCTACCTGAATTATAATCCACCAAAGAGGAAAGACCTTTTTATTCTTCTTGCTTTGATAGGCAACATACAGTAGGCATTCAATAGGATTTTATTGACTTACCAAGGAGCTAGGTAATGAAAGATCTTTATCATTATTCCATTGAGAGATCATTTATTCTGAACTATAGTTTCTGATAAAACAGATAGGGGTTAGATTATAACCTGTAAGTGCCAATCAGATTAGGAACTGTTTTAATTTCTGTTCAGAGAAATTCAAAGAAAATATGAATACTTTCCAAGGGCATAGGTTTTGGTTAGGAAATGAGATCATAGCTGCATGAACTACTTTAAAATTCAGCTTTTACATGGAATATTTAGACCCCAATGCACATTGTGCAACTTTATGTAAAAGCTATTTTAAAATGTAAGAGAAAGACATTCAGTGAACTGGGAAGAGATTTGATAAACGTCTTGAAGCTTCCCTGAAAGCATAGATAAGTTTTGAGTGTAGCCAATGCCAGAAGTCAAATTGAGTGGGGAAGATCATGAGCACAGACTTGTCGTTGAGAATGAGCAAGGCATAGCCTAGGCTTCCAGAAGCAGAAGATGTTGTTGGCAGATTAGTGCACTGCTAGCTTGGATAAATATTTTGAATCCAAGTAGTGAAAAATATTATTAATAACCTTTCTGTTTCTTCTGTTGGTGTTTGGGTTGCTTGAGCTCAGGGATGTTGTAGATTTCTGAGCAGAGTACTGTCAGGGTTGCATTGCAGGTGGGTGATAGCAGCTAACAACAGTTTTATGGATCCAAAAATTTGTAAGATACATAAAAATAAAAGTTAACATTGTAGGGGCAGCTTTAGGCATCTGAAGTATAAGATTTTCCACCAAATGAAACCCAAGTGTTTGGGAACTCTTGTTTGTACTCAGAATTAAGTAAAATAATTATACAGAGACATGACTCATTTGAGGAAATTTAAGTTGGCAAATTGAAAGAAAATTAATGGCTCAACTTAATGAGCATTTGTTTTATGTTATAAACGGTTCTAAGCAGTTTATTTGTACTAATTCAGTCCTTTGACAGTGCCTGTGATTTAGGCACTCATATTCACATTTCAGATGAATGAAACTGCATCACAGTTACATAACTTGACCAAGGTATCTTAGCTAGTAAATTGTTGGGGGTTTGAACTGAGGTGTCCTGCTCTGGTATTCATGCTCTTAACCACTGTGCTATATTGTGCAAGCAGGGAAAGTAGAATTTAATGGCTAAGAAGGTTAGCTAGTATTAAATAAGACTTTCAAAACACTTCAAAGATCTGATCTTGGGTGTTTTGCTTTGTTTTGTTTTTCTTTTTCTTTTCTTTTTTTTTTTAAGTAGAGACAGGGTTTTGCCATGTTTCCCAGGCTGGTCTGAAACTCCTGAGCTCAGGCAATTCACTGGCCTTGGCCTCCCAAAGTGCTAGGATTACAGGTGTGAGCCACCATGCCCAGAATGATCTTGTTTTTAAGATACCTTGCCCTGGCTCACACCTGTAATCCTAGTACTTTGGGAGACCGAGGCAGGTGAATCACCTGAGGTCAGAAGTTCAAAACCAGGCTGGGCAACATGGTGAAATTCTGTCTCTACTAAAAATACAAAAATTAGCTAGACATCGTATCATGTGCCTGTAATCCCAACTACTCGGGAGGGTGAGGCAGGAGAATCTCTTGAGCCTGGGAGGCGGTGAAGCTTGCAGTGAGCCAAGATTGCGCCATTGTACTCCAGCCTGTGCGACTGGGCAAGATTTTGTCTCAAAAACAAAAACAAAAACCTTGCTCTCTGGTCTTTTATTTCTTTTGGACAATCATGTGCCTGGATCTCTCCTCCAGTTGAATGTGAATCCTCTTTGTAAACATGAAGAAATCAGAGCATTTAGAATGTTTATTTGCATATGTATGCAGAGTAATGATGCATGGATTTTGCAAGGGTCTAGGCTAGTGGGGATGCTGCCATTGTAGTCTTGATATGAAGTGATATCTTGCAGTTTAATATAGAAATTGTCCCAACAGATTTCTCCCAAATACAATCCATAATGGAGTCTTTGCATATAGACACAGTAACTGCTTTTGTCCCCACTGATCCCATCTGCTCTGAGTCCTCCCATCTTTACCTGGATCTGGCACTCTTTCAGTCGCTTCTCTTCTCATCATTTATTGGTTTTATTTCATCTTTTCTACCAGAGTTTGAAACATAATATTTGTAAAGTGACAAAGTTACTTGTATTCAATATGAATTACTCTTCCATCTTCCACTACTATTTCGTCTTTGTTCTTTCACCACCCCCGTTTATGTGTGTGTGTTTATGTTTTGTACTAGAAAGCAACGGGAAAAGAGAACTATGTGTTTGTAATTGTTATTTGTGGAGATTGGCTCTGACACCAGAGTCAACCCCACTTTGGGGGCTCTTGAATACCTGTAGCTTTCCATAGCTAATGTGTTCAGATTTACAGTTTGTTTACTTTTTTGTCCTTTTTAGAAGTCTGGAAAGTTGATGACCTAATAGAGAGAATCCAAGAAAATGAAGACAAACATTCAAGGCCCGCTGTTTGTATCGACAACAAAACCCTGACTGAAGAGAAGGAGAATACCTTTGGTCAAACCTATATGGAAACAAGCCTTGTTCCTTCAAGCATAATAGCTCATAATTGTGTCTCTTGTGGAAAGAATTTAGAATCTATTTCAGAATTAATTAGTAGTGATGGAAGCTATGCCAGGACAAAACCTGACGAGTGTAATGAATGTGAGAAAACATATCATGGAGAGAAAACATATGAATTTAATCAAAATGGGGATACCTGTTCTCAAAGTGAAGAAAATATTCTTCAGAAAATTAATATTTTGGAGAAACCCTTTGAGTATAATGAATGCATGGAAGCCTTAGACAATGAAGCTGTTTTTATTGCTCATAAGAGAGCTTACATAGGGGAGAAGCCCTATGAGTGGAATGATTCTGAACCAGACTTCATGCAGATGTCAAATTTTAGTGCATATCAGAGAACACAAATGGAAATGAAGCCCTTTGAATGCAGTGAATGTGGAAAATCCTTCTGTAAAAAGTCAAAATTCATCATTCATCAGAGAGCTCACACAGGAGAGAAACCTTATGAATGTAATGTATGTGGGAAATCTTTCAGCCAAAAGGGAACCCTCACTGTGCATCGGAGATCACACTTAGAGGAGAAGCCCTATAAATGTAATGAATGTGGGAAAACCTTTTGTCAGAAATTACACCTTACTCAACACCTAAGAACTCATTCAGGAGAGAAACCCTATGAATGTAGTGAATGTGGGAAAACCTTCTGCCAAAAGACACATCTCACCCTACACCAGAGGAATCATTCAGGAGAGAGGCCCTATCCATGTAACGAATGTGGGAAATCTTTCTCCCGCAAGTCTGCACTCAGTGACCATCAGAGAACTCACACAGGGGAGAAACTTTATAAATGTAATGAATGCGGGAAATCCTACTACCGAAAGTCTACCCTGATTACACATCAGAGAACACACACAGGAGAGAAGCCCTATCAGTGTAGTGAGTGTGGGAAGTTCTTTTCTCGGGTGTCATACCTCACTATACATTATAGAAGTCATTTAGAAGAGAAACCCTACGAATGTAATGAATGTGGCAAAACCTTCAATTTAAATTCAGCCTTCATTAGACATCGGAAAGTACACACAGAAGAGAAATCTCATGAATGCAGTGAATGTGGAAAGTTCTCTCAGTTGTCGTATCTCACCAACCATCATACAGCTCATTTGGGAGAGAAACCTTATGAATGTAATGAATGTGGGAAAGCCTTCCTTGTAAACTCAGCCTTCGATGGGCACCAGTCGCTTCCAAAAGGGGAGAAATCCTATGAATGTAATATATGTGGAAAGTTATTCTCTGAGTTATCATACTATACTGAACATTATAGAAGTCATTCTGAAGAGAAACCTTATGGATGTAGTGAATGTGGGAAAACCTTTTCCCATAATTCATCCCTCTTTAGACATCAAAGAGTACACACAGGTGAGAAACCCTATGAGTGTTACGAATGTGGAAAATTCTTCTCTCAGAAATCATATCTCACTATACATCATCGAATTCATTCAGGAGAGAAACCCTATGAATGTAGTAAATGTGGAAAAGTCTTCTCTCGGATGTCAAACCTCACCGTCCACTACAGAAGCCATTCAGGAGAGAAACCCTATGAATGTAATGAATGTGGGAAAGTCTTTTCTCAGAAGTCATACCTCACTGTACACTATAGAACTCATTCAGGAGAGAAACCCTATGAATGTAATGAATGTGGGAAAAAATTCCACCACAGATCAGCCTTCAATAGCCATCAGAGAATTCATAGAAGAGGAAATATGAATGTACTTGATGTGGAAAATCTCTGAAGTCAGATCTCAATTTTTAGAAAATTCTCTGAATAGGATGAATATGGGAAATCCAATAGGAAGTCAAAGAGCTTATCTGAGAGTTCATGTTCCTGAATGGTGAGAAGCATTTAGGTGTTAGATTCATTTTAATCTGAATTTTCACAGAGAAGAATCCCTAAGAATGTAACAAGAAGGAAAGCCTTCAGCAACATACGACTCATTGGACACTAGATAATTTATGCAGGAGTGAAGTTTTATAAATATTTAATATTTATTTTGGATTCAAATTGTATTTACATATCAGGGAATCATACAAAGGTAAAATCTGTCAATATGGTGAATGTGGAAAATGGATTGTCTTGGAAATTGTTCTGCTAGAAGCCATATTTCTGATGTAAAATCAGGTGTTTATAGGAAAGATCCCAGAGACTATAAGTTCTGAATAAACCTTCATTGTATAAAATGAAGTTTTTAAATTATCAGGAGTTGATCATGAGGACAGTAGCATTAAATAAGTATATGGCCATTTTTTATCATGTTTTAAAAATGCAATCTAATGGTAATTCTATGCAAGCTTGGATTTGGATGACTTATGAAAAGGCAGTTTTCTTATTTGAGTGTTAGGATGACAACGTGTACTGAGAGGATATATTGTTATTGAGATAATATTTAATAGTTATAAAATGGTAAAGTGCATAATTTTCTATTTTGAGGAATCTCCAAATGGGTTAACAAATGCCTCAATAGTAGAGGAGGCAGTGGTTTTGTAAAGTTTTCAACTGCATCTGAGCAAGGTAAGATTTTTTAAAAGCCTATTTTGATAAACTATACATACATAATTTGGAACTGTTTTAAGTCTATTTCAGTGAAAGAGAACAAACATACTGCCCATACTCTAAAATATCCCCAGCTCTCACACCACCACCCTTTTTAATCCATAGGTTTGAATGTGCCTAGTGCCAATATTTTGTAATTCTGAAATTTTATTCAGAAACTTCTATTTGATATAAATACAATATTGTTGTTTTGTGCATTCCCCTTATTCCCAGTATTTTAGAACAAATTAATTCAAGTTTCTAGCAATTGTTTTTTGGTCAATTAATGTCCTCACTCCATTTCTTGCTGGAAAAGTTTAGGTACCTACTGCTTCTTTACATGACGTGGGAAAATTGTGATTAGTCAAAATGATGATGATTTCATTCTCTTTGCCAGTAACTTGTTTTATAGTGGTCACATGATCTGAACTGGGCAGACAAAACAAAGATGGGTTTGTTCTGGAAAAAGGTAATATGGTAATTAGATAGGTTGTCTTCCAGAAATGCAAAGGTGGCTTAATATTCAAAAATCAGTTGCTATTATACACCACCTGTAGAAAAGTAATCTGGCATGCAGAATATTCATGTGTTAAAATTAATGTTCATATGATATTAGCAAATGATGGATAGAAAGGGACTTCCTTAATTTCATAAAGAGACTTAAACTACAACAAACAGTATGCTCAATGATTATATAGTGATTTCTCCCAAGATTATGAAAATAGACAAGGATATCCACTGTCACTGATTTTATTCAACATTGTTCAGAAGGACCTAACCGGAAGACTAATGCAAGAAAAACAAAAGGCATAAAGATTAGAAAAGAAATAAAACAAGCTGGGCGCAGTGGCTCACGCCTGTAATCCCAGCACTTTGGGAGGCTGAGGTGGGTGAATCATGAGGTCAGAAGTTCAAGAGCAGCCTGGCCAATATGGTGAAACCCCATCTCTACTAAAAATACAAAAAAAAAAAAAAAATTAGCTGGGCATGGTGGCAAATGCCTGTAATCCCAGCTATTCAAGAGTCTGAGGCAAGAGAATTGCTTGAACTGGGAGGTGGAGGTTGCAGTGAGCCGAGATAGTGCCACTGCACTCCAGCCTGGGCTACAGAGCAAGGGTCTATCTCAGAAAAAGAATACAGAAGTAAAACTTTAAAAAAGAAAAAGAATGAAAATCTTTATTTGCAGATGTGATGAGTAAATTTGATAAGTTCCCTGCATAAAAGTTATGCAAAAGGCATTTTATAATACTCCAGAAAAAAACATGGAAAATGAAATTTTGAAAAGCAATACCGCTTAAAAGATCCTCAAGTGCCTAGGAGAAAAAATTAGCTAATATGCTTTAAAGGACTGTATCTGGAAAAGAAAATTACAAAGGAGAGAGAGGGATAGGATTCCAGGACAATCTCAAAACAATGTTGCTTTTTCCTAAATTCATTGAACCTTAATGAAATCCTAGCAAGTTCTTTAATGTAAATTAACAAGCTAATTCTAGAATTCATGTGCATATTCAAAAGGCCAATAATTGTCAAGGCTATCTTGTAAAACGGACAGAGAGGATTGAAATTCCCAAATATCAAGACCTGTTACAAAGCCATAGAAATTACAATGGTGTGATTTTGGCACGAGGATGAACAAATTGACCAGTGGAACAGCATAAAGATTCATAAATAGACCCACATGTATACCATCACCTGACTTTTGACAACAGTGACATCTAAGTGTAGTGGGGGAAAAGGTGTTTTTTTCCAGTAAATGTGCTTTGCCAATTACATTTTGTAATTTAATAAAAAGTCGGTTGGAGGTGGATTGCAGATCTGAATATGAAATGTGAAATAAAGCTTTACAAAGCGATCTGAGGACAGTTTGTAACCTTGTAGTGAGCAAAGTTTTATTGATACCCCAAAACTAGCCCATAAAATTAGAACTTAATATTAAATTTCAGAACTTCTATTTACCAGAAAGACCACCAGTAAGAAAGTGAACAGGAAACCATGGCAAGAAGATACTTGCAGTTCATATATGTGACAACAGAACTGAGTGTAGCAAAAGTGTTGGCAAACTTTTTAGCAAGGCACCAGGTGGTGAAAATTTTTGGCTTTGTCACAACTGCTCATCTTTGCTACTGTGTGAAAGCATCCGTACACAATGCATTTAGAAAAAAAAAAAAAAAAAAAAAGCATGGCTGCTTCCCAGGAAAACTATTCGCAAACACAGTGGCAGTGTGAATTTGGTCTGCACTGATAGTTTTCTGGTCCCTGATCTAGAATATGTAAAGAGGATCTACAAATCAACAAGGGGGAAAATGGAAAAGGCAAAAGACTATAGAGGATGTCCACTCACTTTAAAGGATATCCAGATGGCCAATAAACATGAAAAGATGTGTTAACTTTATTAGTAATCAGAGAAGTGCAAAATTAAAACACCATGTAGTGCTGCTGCCCATCCATGGAAATGGTTAAAATGAAAAGCATGAAAAAGCATCACGTTTTGGCAAGGATCTAAGCAAGAGGAACTGTCCACTACTGGTGGAATTGCTAATCAATAAAACCATTTTTGAAAGCTGGCACTTAAAGCCAAGCATGTGTACACCCTTTTACCCAAGCCCAGCAAAAATGCATGTCTCTCCACCAAAGGACATGCACTAAAATATTCATAGCATAAAATGGCACAGAACTATCTTAAGGCACATGTGCAATAGAATGAATAAACAACTGGCACATTTCTACGGAATACTGTAAAAAGTGAGCATGAATGAACTCTTAACTCCATGCAATAACGTAGCTGAATTTGACAAACCTTGCTGAATGAAAGACTCCAGACATAAAAGCTAACATGCTGTCTGATTCCTTCTATATAAATTATAAAGATGGGCAAAACTTGTCTATGCAGTAGAAAATTAGGATAACAGCCTTGGCCAAGGCTGAAGGGGGGCATTTATCTGGTGCTGGGAATCATCTGTTTCTAAACCTGGGTGCTAAGTATTTGAGTGTGTTTTGAGCTGTGCACTTAAGATATGTGTATTTTTTCTGCATGTGTGTTATATTTTTCATAAAAGTTTTCTCAAATCACAAATGGCTAACATTTGTGGTGTTCATCCCTCTAATATTTTTCTAGATATGTAAGAATATGCTGCATAACAGGAATTAAATGGTAGATTTTGCATAATTCTGTGCAGGAAATACATATTTATAGTAGTTTTAATGGCAACTACTAAGATTTCCTGCGCTGACCTTAAAGCTTAGCATAATGTATATTTTAAGTGAAATATTTGAAAAGGTTAAAGAGTCATTACATACTTTATCATCTTACACTCTTGCATATATAAATGGGTCTGAACTGCCTCTTCAATAAAGAAGCTAATGTGTAACATTTTATATTTCCCTAAACAAATTGTTTGCCACATTTCTGAACTTGGGATTCATCTTAGCTTTTACCATAGAGGTGACCTTTCTTGGCCGTAAATAAATGGTGAGTTTTGAGTTGATGGAAAATTATTTTAAAAGTATTCAGCTAACCCTTTCAGCAAATGTCAGATACACAGTTAACAGCACAGATGTGAGTGAGTGAAAGAAACGGGTCACCAAGACTTTGCACCATTTAAAAAAGCACTTTGGGTGGGGGCAGGGTAAGCTTTTAAAAGCACAGCAAGGTGGACATGACATTGGATGGCATAGACTATGTGTGCCTCATTTTTTTGTTTGGGGCATTTGTTTTTTCTTTCATTTTTATTTTTTGAGTCAGGGTCTCACCACAGCCTAAAGTGCAGTGGTGCAATCACAACTCACTGCAGCCTTGACTTCCGGGCTCAAATGAATCTCCCACCTCAGCCTCCTGAGTAACTGGGACTACAGGTGCACACGACCACACTTGGCTAATTTTTTTTTTTTTTTTTTTTTTTGTAGAGACAGGGTCTCGCTATGTTGCTGGATGCCAGCTCCTGGGCTCAAGTGGTCCACCCGACTCAGCCTCCCAAAGTGCTGGGATTCCAGGAGTAAGCCACCACGCCTGGCCATGTGCTTTTCATTTCACCTTTCTCGTTGAAGGTTAAGCTGAAGTGTAAACAGGTGACGAATGCTTTGCTGAAGGAGGGGGAATCTGGGAGTTGGGTGGGATTTGGGGGGTGTGACTCCCCCACAGTGGCTCACTTTGCTCTCCCAGTCCTCTGGGCAGAACCACCAGGCAATATTAAAGCAAGGCAGGGGCTTTCCATTCACCCCCACCGGAAGTGCCCATTTCACAGGAGATTCCCTCCACCCATGCCCATATTTGCTAGTGCTTGGCTTGGGGTCGGTGAACCTTTTTTTTTTTTTTTTTGAGATGGAGACTTGCTCTTGTTGCCTAGGGTGGCATGCAATGGTGCAATCTCGGCCACTGCAACCTCCACTTACCAGGTTCAAGCCATTCTCCTGCTTCAGCCTCCCAAGTAGCTGGGATTACAGGCTCCCGCTACCACGCCTGATGAATTTTTTTGTACTTTTAGTAGAGACAGAGTTTCACCATGTTGGCCAGGCTGGTCTTGAACTCCTGATCTCAGGTGATCCTCCCGCCTCAGCATTCCAAAATGCTGGGATTACAGGCGTGAGCCACCGTGCCCAGCTGAACTTTTCCATTTTGTCTCTAAATTATGTCAAAAGACATAAATGCAAGACTACTAATTTATACCTGAGGCCAAAAATTCACCCACTGTTCCTTATTTCATCCCAAATTATGTCCAGATACGAGGAAGCCAAGCTCTTCAAAGAAGGGAAACAGTCCAGGCATACCTGTAATTCCAGCACTTTGGGAGGCTAAGGTGGGAGGATCTTGAGTTGAGGAGTTCAAGACCAGCCTGGGCAACACAGCCAGACCCCATCTCTTATTATTATTTTGAGATGGAGTCTTGCTCTGTCACCCAGGCTAGAGTGCAGTGGCACAATCTCAACTCACTGCTTCTGGGTTCAAGTGATTTTCCTGCCTAAGCCTTCCGAGTAGCTGGGATTACAGACATGCACCACCACACCTGGCTACTTTTTAGAGATGGGGTTTTACCATGTTGGCCAGGTTGGTCTCAAACTCCTGACCTCAAACTCCTTTGGCGCCCTTCTCGGCCTCCCAAAGTGCTGGGATTACAGGCATGAGCTACTGCACCTGGTTTGTTGAGCAAAATTTTCAAAATGTCTTCTCTCCACAGCTTGCCCCATCAGTTTACTGCCTGGCCTGATGACACGGTGGGACAGGAACATGATCACTTAGTAATTGAGCAAATGCCAGAGCCACCTGAGCCTGGCTGGAGTGAGGAGCAGATGAAACAGGAAGGGTGCTTAGCTGCAGCACCTCCTCCATACTCCGAAAGCTAAGCTTTTACATCAACAGAAGGAATTGGGCATGTTTTCATGGTGGTTTACAAAAAGGGCAGGGATTCCTTTGTGGCTGGGTTGTGGGTGATTGTCTGGAGACAGTTCAGCAGGTTAGGTAATGAATCCCAGATTGTGCTGCTCTGTTGCTGTTCTGGGCCATAACATCCTCTGTAAGTCACCCCCGTCCTTTTTTTTTTTTTTTTTTTTTTTTTT